AAGTGACAGGCCACCTCACCCTCCTGAGTTCCAGACCAGCCACACCTACTTAGCCACACCTACTTATGTTTAGGGTGGGTAGATAAGCCCAGAGACGGATGGAAAACTCTGATTTCTGTAATTGCTACATTATTTTAAATATCCTGTTTTCAACAAAAACTTAGGGGCATGTATAAAAAATGTGTCAGGAAACAGAGCACTCACTCAGTAACTCGGTAGATGTGTTTCTAAGAAGCCAACACTGTACTTGCTGAACAGCCTTTAAATCAGTTTACTTTTTATTATCCTTTTTGTTAGCATAAAGTACTTGTATAAAATAGTGGGTCTTATGACATTCTTTTGCTTTCTGAGTCAGGGTCTCACTTAAGTGCTGGCTGTCCTGAAACTCACTATATAGACGAGGCTGAGGTCTGCCTGCCTCTGCTTTTGGAACACAGGGATTAAAGGAGAGCATCACTGTCCTTCATGACTTTTCTTTTAAAATGTTTATAGATTTTCAATTATTTTGTGTGCAATGTGTGTGCACATGTGCTCTGGAAAAATCTGCCCAGGGCAACTGTGCAATCATGTCTTCTCCTCCCTGACTTACTGCCACTCTCTTAAGTTCCCTGCTCAGGTTGACTTCCATCTTACAGTAGCAGCCTGTGGACATTTCTCTCCTCTAATGAATTCCTAGCTACATTTCAATCCAACTTACTTTGCCTCATCCTCAAACTTTTGCTGTTTGTTTGGCCCACACTCCCTGCAGACACCATCCATGCATTACACTTTCAATTTGCTGAGAGTGGGGGGTGGGGTAGGGCACATTCTATCTACAGCATATTTGGTATTACATTTTACTTGTTCTTTTTGGTTTTTCAAGACGTTTCTTTGTGCAGCCCTGGCTATCCTGGAACTTATTCTGTAAACCAAGCTAGCCTCGAACTCAAAGATCCATCTGCCTCTGCCTTACCTAATATCTGCCCCTGATCCCCAACCCCCCTTCATTTAAAGGAATCTTCCAAGAAAGCACAGCTCTGACTTTCAGCATTTTGATGCATTTTCTCAGAGATGTTCTTCAGTTCAATGGTGATTCCTTTAAACCAAATCATTGATACTGCTTTTAGCATCTGCCACTGATTGGATGTGAAGTATCTCCTTCAAAAAGGCTCGTTGAAGGGTATATCCCCCACTGCTGCTGCTGTTGGAGGTGGCTCAGTTAACTTCAGGAGGATGTCTAGCTAGAAGAAGTGGGTCACCAGGGCATATCCTTGAGGGAATACACCTTGTCTGGGACCCTTTCTCTTTCTGTTCCTTGTCTACTATGAGATAAGCACACTGTTCTATGCTCCTACAGCCATGATGCTAGAAGAGAATTATGAGCTGAAAACTCTGAAATCATGAGGCAAAACAACATTTCCTCCCTTTAAGTTATTCTCAGTTGTTTTGGTCACAGCTAACAGAAAACTAACAGTATCTCAAACTCAGTCTATCTTATCATTACAATTACTAAATACTCAATAAATAAATGCTTTGGGGTTCTGCAAATAAACTAAAAGGCAATATCCCCCTTCTCATTTTCAGGAAGCTTATTAGTATTATACACAGAAATATCTTAACCACCTTCATAAAAATAGAACTATTCAAATGGCTCTGGTGAGTCATACCCGTGCCAGCGGGGCTCACTCTGAAGCACTTACATTATTATTGTGAAGATACTCAATTGCTCGGAGAATCTGGAACAGGTACTTTCTCAGTCGCTTACTCTCTAGTCCATGACAGTAATGCTGTAACTCATCTAAGACTGTGTGGTCAATAAATTCAAATACCAAATGAATTTTCTTTTTTTGTCTAAAAACTTCAATCAGATTGACCAGGTTTTCATGACGAAATTGCTATTAACAAAAGAAACAAGAGTTTTTAAAAAAATTGTTCATTCAGTACAATAATAAAACACCTATATAATTTTGAAAGGAAACAAACAGTTTCAGATTCTTTCAATAGAAATGTTTCAAGTGATCTGGAACATTCTTAATGTATAAAAATTACTGTAAGCGATTTCTTGCTCTCTGTAGAGAAAGGGGAGACATGTTGGCATCTGATTGGTTATTAAAATAATTTAGGACTAATATGCCACAACGTAATGAGAAATATTATTGCTACCTTTTAATTTGGTTTGTACTTAACACATGAAATTTAAAAGGACTTCATGGGCCACGCATGGTGGCATCAGCCTTTAATGCCAGCACTTTGGAAGACAGAGTTAGATCAATCTCTGAGTTCAATACCAGCCTAGTCTACATAGGGAGTTCCTGGGTAGGCAGAGCTACAGAGACAGACCTGGCCTCAAAACAAACAAACAAAAATCAATCAATAAAATAAAATGGATCTTGTTTTATGTGTGTTATTTTTTAGTTGTTTTCTTACTTTGATTTTCAGAGACAAGGTATTGCTATGTATCCCAGGCTAGACCAGAACTCACAGCCTTTCTGCCTCAGCTTCTGGAGTGCTGGACACTGGGATTAAAGATATAAGTCACCATATTCAATTTGCAGTTGTTTTCTGGAAACTGGACTTGGGGTCTTCTCACATGCTGAGCTGAATATATCTAACCCCTAAGGTCCTTATGTTTTCCAATGAGCATGAATTTTCGATTTTAAAACATTTATGTATGAGTGTTGTGCATGCCTGGCACCCAGAGGTCAGAAGAGGATGACTTCGGGTTCCCTGAAACTGGAGTTAAGGATGGCTGTGAAGCACCATGTGGATGCTGGGAAGCAAACCTGGGTCTTCTGCAAGAGCAAGTGCTCTTAACCACTGAGCCACCTCTCCAGCCCAAGCATAGATTTCAACATCATTAAGCATGTGCTATAAATTTACACAACTTACTCTCTAATTTTGCCTTAAACTGTAGAGAATAAAGCCAGGTGGTTGTGACATACACCTTTAGTCCCAACATTCAGGAGGCAGAGGTAGGCAGATCTCTGTGAGTTCGAGGCCAGCCTGATCTACAAAGTTACACAGAGAAATCCTGACTCGAAAAATCCAAAAAAATAAAACAGAGAATAAACCATAAGTTCTAGGGGTCATTTATTAATTCATTTCATAACCAAAAGAATACAAAAAATATGTTTTAAAAACCTTCAAATATGTGAAATAATTTGTAACCATAGAAACAACATAAATATGCAAATATTTAAGGTATTTTTATTCACTGACTATCCTACTAAACAACAAAACACTCTTTGCCTCAGCTATTTGGGAGGCTGAGTCAGGAAGATAAATCTAAGGCCAGCCTGGGCAACACAGTGAGACCTTCATTTCATACAAACAAAAATTAAATAAGGAATTTTAAAAACAGAACAAAAATCCTTTTTGTACTCATATCAACCATGGTTGAAAATAATTTACAGGAATTGGGAAAATAAGTGCTTGGTATACACACGAGAACCTGAGTTCAATCCTCAGCAACCACAGATAAGCCAGATATAGCAGTGGGCGCCAGTAAATAGCACTGAGTGAGGTTAAGATGGGTGGATGGAGCCGGGCGTTGGTGACGCACACCTTTAATCCCAATACTCGGGAGGCAGAGGCAGGTGGATCGCCGTGAGTGAGAGACCAGCCTGTTCTCCAGAGCGAGTGCCAGGATAGGCTCCAAAGCTACACAGAGAAACCCTGTCTTGAAAAACAAAACAAAACAAAACAAAACAAAAAAAAAACATTCCTATCTCAACTGATGGCTTCACATTCAATGACACATCCAGTTTCAAAAACAGGTAAGAGTGATAAGAGGCAAACACCCAACATGACCTCTGACATCCAGGTACAGGAGCACGTCACATAAACACATACACCAAAGAAATGCTTTTAAATAATCGCCATGTATCAACATAGGAAACAAATGAAGCTTAATATTATAAGTTGCTTATTCTATTTTTCCAACCCATTGTCCTTACCACAATCAATTCTGAAATATTTAACCATTTTTAAATTAACAAAAATATTGGTAAATTTGGATAAAAATGAGAATATTTTCATTATTAGATTCACTAGCAAACTAAAGTTTTTTAAAAATGCTTTTATTCTAGTGGCCCAATGCCAAGTTTTCTACTTTCCTGTGACTAACAGAGATTAAAATCCTTGAAACATGACTGGTAGGAAATTTTGCCAAAATACAATGCCCAGATTCCTTTCCTATTTTTGCTCTCAACTTCTCTGTTTAGCAAGACACCCTGGTGTGGTGCTATAGCAGGGAAAGGACAGTGAATTAAAAGGTGAGGGCCTTCCAACACCACATGAATGGCCCATCTAGGGAAAACCACTGGCTTTCTGTCTGTACACATGAGCAAGCCTGTGCTCACCCCTGGAACTGGAGTTACAGATGGCTGGGAGCCACCATCTGGGTGCTGGGAATCCAAGTCCTCTTCAAGAATAAATGCTCTTAACAGCTGATCCATCTCTCCAGCCCTTAGTCTTTATTTTAAAGGCAAAATAGTGAAGGTAGTAAGGAGCTAACAAAAACAGTAGGGGACTTCTTTTTTAATGTATTTAACTTTTTTTTTCTATTACTAGACAACCTTTCCACAGCTATTCTAACTACTCTGTCGGTAATTTAATCAGATTCTACTATAAAAATTTAGCTAAAGTTGAATTATTTGGGCAATCATTTCAGGTTAAGACTATTAACAAATGCAAGAATCCTCTTATTAGATTATGCTAAACTGTACTCCCAGGACTCCAAAAGCTGAAGCACAATGAGGAAGAGTTTGAGTTCAGCTTGAGCTATACAATGAGTTCCAGGCTAGTCTGGACTATGCAATAAAATTTTGTTTAAAAGGGATCTGGAAGAATGAAATAGCAATTTAAAAGAACTTCCAGAGGACTCTAGTCCTTTTTTGTTTTTTGGTGTTTTTGTTTTTTTCCCAAGACAAGAGTTTCTCTGTGCAGCTTTGGAGCCTGTCCTGGAACTCATTCTGTAGACCAGGCTGGCCTCGAACTCACAGAGATCCACCTGCCTCTGCCTCTCGAGTGCTGGGATTAAAGGTGTGCACCACCAACGCCCGGCCTCTAGTTCTTTTAGATTTATTTTACTATTTTATGTGTATGAGTTTACTTTCATAAATTTCTGTACACCAGATGCATGCCTGGTATCCAGGGAGGACAGAAGAGAAAATCAAATCCCACCACGTGGCTTCTAGGAATAGAAGCCAGGTCCTCTGGAAGAGCAACATTACTCTAACAGCTGAGTCAACTCTCCAGCCCCTAAGGCTCTGGTCCTGAACCCTCACTCACAGCTCTGTAACTCCAGTTCCAGGTAATATGACACCCTCTTCTGGCCTCTGTGGGCACTGCGTCAACATGGTGTAAACACATACAGGTAAAACACCCATACACATAAAATGAAAATCTTTAAGTCAAAAAACATTTTAGCTGGGTGGTGATGGTGCACGCCTTTAATACCAGCACTCAGAAGGCAGAGGCAGGTGAATCTCTGTGAATTCAAAGTCAGTGTGGTCTACAGAGTGAGTTCCAGGACAGTCAGGGCTATTAAACAGTGAAACCTTGTCTTGAAAAACAAAAACAAACAAAAAATTGTATTAAAAGAAGAAAGGCAGGGAGAGAGGGAAGCAGCTGGGACATCCCATACTAAGTCAGTAAGAGTAGTTTAAGTTGTCTTATTAATGGTGTCATAGGCCTTTAATTCTAACATTCATTAGGCAGAGGTTGGCAGATGTAAGTTAGAGGCTAGTCTGTTCTACAAAGGAAGTTCCAGGGCAGCTAGGACTATACAGTGAGACCCTGTCTTAAAAAACAAACAACAAAAGAAATAGTGTCTTAAAATAATTTGCATATACCAGATGGTACCACACAGCATTCAGTAGGCAGATACAGGAAGATCAGTGAGTTTGAGGCCAGCCTGGTCAACATAACAAATCCTTTTTTTTTTTTTTTTTTTTTTTTTTTGGTTTTCGAAGCAGGTTTTCTCTGTGGCTTTGGAGGCTGTCCTGTAACTAGCTCTTGTAGACCAGGCTGGTCTCAAACTCACAGAGATCCGCCTGTCTGAGTGCTGAGATTAAAGGCATGTGCCACCACTGGCTGGCAACACAGCAAATTCTAAAATATCCAGGGATAAATAGTGAAACCATGTCTCAAATACGAAGTTTTTTGCCTATAGTTATAGCAACAAAACATGTTTTCAAGTTCATCTCCATGGTCACTACTGGTTAGTTTTGTAAGATTATTAAACAGGACTGGAGCTGGTGCTTAGTTGGTGGAGTGCTGTTTAGCATATACAAAGCACTGATCCCTAGCACCACATAAAACTGAGAGCTAGATGGTTCAAAGGGTAAAGGCACTTGCTGTCAAGCCTGACAACCTGAGTTCAATCCTTGAGAACCTTCCAATTTCTGCAAGTTACCCTGTGTCCTCTACATGTGTGCTGTCGATGTGCATGCACACACACACACACACACACACACACACACACACACACACACACACACAATCGTTTAATTAATGCACACACACACAAAAAATAAATGGTAAAATGTAATCTAAAAATGGGGGGAGGGGGGACACAACCCAGGCATGGTGTTATATGTAATCTCAGCACTAGGGAGGTGGAAGCAGAAGGTGCAGAAGATCAAAGACATTATTTCCTAATTTGATTTCTCACTTAAGGTGCACAAATTAGGGCTGGAGAGATGGCTCAGTGGTTAAGAGCACTGACTGTTCTTCCA